TAAACATCACCTGCCACTCATCACTTGAATTAACACTATGGGTCTACTGGGGGTTTTCTAATTGTATTAAGTGGGAAAATAATTGTAATAAGTGGGGAAATTGTTACGTTACTCACAGAAATTAACATTAAAGATGTAGAAGTGTTTCACTACATGTTAAGTCCAGGACAACTCTAAAGAGGTAGGTTCTGACTATCACCTTCCCATTTACACATGAAAACTAGTACTCCATCTCAAATAGCTCATCTAACTCCCACATTTAATTACTGAAGTTCCTCATTTTGTTAGCCTTTCCAGCAATCCATTATTAACTTAGCAGCATCCGGGCACAAGGGAGGAGGGGTCAGATCCAAAGGACTGATACAGCTAGCTAGGACTATTGCTTTCTCACTGCTACAAGCTTCTCCATTACCTCTCACTTGATTTCGATGAGGAAATGAAGATAAAAAGAACCTTACAATGCAGACAGTCTATACTTGACTGCAGGGATAAGGGGCCATGAGTAGTACTGATTTCAATAGAAAAAAAAAAACAAGCCTTTGTGTGAGAGCTGGTGAGACAGCTAAGTTTAGATGAAGTAGGAAACAGTGTAAAGCTCAAGAACATACCGGGGTACGCACAAAAAAATAAAATAAAATAAAATAAAAACAAAACTATTTCTCATTCCAACTGGACAAGAAGACTCACTGTCTACCTGTTGAGTCAGTGAATAACCACTAAAGGAATTTGCAGCTGCCTTCTCAAGGTGAGCTTTTAAATATAAAGAATCATGCAATTCTACAAATGATTCCATTATGTACTTTCTGAAGGAAAACTGTTTCCTGTATATATTTGCTAAGACAAAGCAGATTTAAAGCCTTTACCAATGATAAGTTTATACCTTCATCTTGTTCATCTGATCTCTGGTGAACACATTTTGCTTCTTCAGTGACTGATATTTGACTTTCATCAAGTTGAGCTGGCATTCCATAGCTACCCTTCGATCCTCTACCTGGAAAATATTAATGTGCTTGTTCTTGTAATAGATGAAAGGCCAACTTAGTCAATTTGGTCATGAGAAAACTTGCAAGTACCTCTGCAAACAGAGAGTTTCCTTTACTGCTGGGATCCGAGGCTTGCTGAAGTGCGTTGTCCAACTGCACCTGAAGGTCTTGATTTTCTATTCGAGCTTTCTAGATTGAGAAGAAATTAGTTTCACTGTTGGAGATCAGCAAGAGGGCACTTGGTTACCATCTGTAAGCATGAAAACATTCTCACCACACCTCTAAGGCGTTATAATACGACACTGCTTCCTTCTCTCGCTCTTCTTTTTCTTCTTTAAGCCGGTCTACCTGGTGCATTAAGGAAGTATTGAAGCATTCTAGTTGCTCTTGTTTGTACTGCAGTTCATTCACCTCTTCTTTGAGAGCAGTCTATTCAACAAGAATACAGACAAGAGTTCTCCTGAGCAATTGCTCACACAGCAGGAGAGCATCCTATTGGTTCCCATCTCACAGTAAAACAAAACCATTCAAAGGTTGCCAAGTATATTTTAAAATGCTTGTAATTAATGAATTTTTTAGCAGAGAGCCAATGAAAATACTTTGGAAATTGCCCCTTTTTCCTTTGAATTTTAAGTTTTAATTATCCACAGTTGAAATGAAAAACCTATATTGACATGCATTTTAATTTCCACTTGTGTATTGGGCTTTTATGACCAATATAATGTTAGAATAAAAGCCAGAGGTTCTATAATGTAAAATCTGCCTTAAGTAATCATAAAATAGAAACTATTTTTATGAATGAATTATTCCACCTGAAAACTCTGCAGAGTGCTTTTTGGTTACATCAAAAGCCATTTCAGTCCTTAAACTTTTCTTAAGAAAAACTACAAGAACAGGCAGAGCTATTCTAGAGAAAACACCTGAGGTATAAATTACCTTCACACCTTCCATTTCAGTTAGCTCAATCTGTAGGGCCAGCACCTCCGAAGACACGCTATTGAGCATG